AAAAAAAACAAAAAAAAAAATCCGTTACTTTACCATGAACTTTCAATATCTTCATCTCAAACAAAAATCTAAAATTATAAAAAAAAAAAAACCTATAATTTGGTAATCCATCACCAAATAACAAAGTTAAATAAACATGAATATACCTTCAAACGTCTTTGATTCAACGACTACTTCACGATTTTTTGTCAGGAACAACAACCTTTTTTTTTTATCTTTCTTTTTCGTTGCAAGAATATGGTACCCAAGAATCTGTTGACGACGATTTCTCTTGTTTCTAATTTTGAATTCGTGATTTCCTGGATTATAGGAATCACGATCGCCATGATTTTCAATTTTTTTCTGTTGAACGTGTTTACTCTTTCCGTCAATCTCGCCTTCATGACTTTCAATATGTGGAGAGAGAATAAAGATATATGATGATTTATTACAATCTCGTAAATTTGAAAAATAAATCACTAACGAATCCTCTTTTGATTATGTTTCCTACTAATTGTATTTATGTATATATTTATAATCCAGGGGATACGTATGTATTTTTCCCATTTTTAGTTAGGGTCACAGTTTGGGCTGAAAATCTGTTGGCCCACTTACCTTAGTCATTTCCCTATGCATAGTGTTGGAGTTATTATGCTATGTGTCGCCATCCATAGAATTACAAATAAAATATCAAAACCAGTCTCAAACTATAATGATGTTTTAATTAGGTCACATTGAGATCGTGTTTATCAAAACTAGCCTCATAGCTTTTAAAAATGAATTAAGACTATATTTGGTAAAACTAGCTGATAAGCTATCTGATAGCTGATAAGTTAGCTTATAGCTTATATGTAATTTTTGAGCTTATAGCTTATAGCTTATGACTTATAGCTGAAAAGCTAGCTTATATAATAAAAGTGTTTGGTAAAATGAGCTGATAAGCTAGCTCGAATAAAAAATTCAACTAGCTTATTTGAAAAGCTACCTGAACAAGCTTATCAAATAAGCTCGAGCTTTTTAAATAAGCTCGTCCTACCAAACGGGGCTTATTTAAATACAAGAAGTTTATAAGCTAACCAAATAAACTATAAGCTAGCTTATTTGGTTTACCAAACATATCCTAAATGTAGGACAATTGTAGCCGAAAATTCAAAATTCGGCTAAAAAAAGACATGTCATATCGCCGTGTCTTATTAATCATACAACTTGGCCATTTATCATGGTGGCTGACATGGAGAAATATTAAAACCAGTTTCATAACTATAGAAATATTTCAATATTGGTCCCATTAAAAAAATCAATTTTTTTTTTTT